ATATATATATATATATATATATATATATATATATATATATATATATGGATTATGAGAGAATAAAAAGTATACACATTGAAAATAAAAATATTCCACACATTTATGCATATCCATGATGCATAAATGTTTTTATACTATTTTTTAATATCTACTTCAGTAATTGCTCAGAAAACCTAATGAAGCAAGTACTGTCTCTCTTTTGCAGATTAGAATCTAAGACTCTGAGTATTTAAATATCCACTTGGGATCATAAATGTAGGAGCCAGGTCCTGGGTATGAACCCAGGTCCTCCCATTCCTGGCATGCTGTTCTTCCTTTGTATTACAGGTGATTAGCCACCTAAGGAACTTGGCTCCACAGCAGCCTTGCAGAATCTATATGGCGCAAAGATGCAACTTCAAACAAAATCCTTTTTCAGTTTTTGTCAACTTGATAAAAGTCTTAAGAATTAAGATATAACTGATAAATATAATTATGCCATGAGATGCATGATTATATGACATATAGATAAAATTACCTTCATTACCTATAAGTTATTTAAGTTTCTACATAGGCTTTTGGCAACTGAATCAATTTCTTCATCTGAAACAGAAACTGGAATGTTCTTTCATGAGCATTTCAAAGGCTTGTTAGGATAAAATTAGAGAGTAAGTATAATAAGAAAATATATGTGCAAAGGAAAGTATTGTGCTCTTATTAAAGTTATAAATATACACAGAAAAATTAATTGCATCAAGTTCTATCTACCTAAAATTAATTAGTAGGTAATTAGCAACCCTGGAAAAGTTTCATTTTAAAAACTTCCATATTCATTATGAAGTATGAGCTTCAAGTTCTAATAAAGTTCCATGATGAAAGAGTTACAAAATCAGCCCTTACTGCATAGTGCAACATTTTAAAAGTTAATTAATTCTCTGACATTCAGCAATGTAACTAAATTACTTTATATAGTTGTTTGAGCACAATGTCTGTAATCTTCTGATTAAAATAGTGTCAAAATCATCAGTAGCAATTATTATTTACCCATCTACAGCCCTGTCACCCACTGTCTCATCTTCCTCAGAATCTGAAGAGATTTTTTTCCAGAGGGTTTTAGAAACTTTTTGTTATAATAGAATGTGGGGGCAAAGGAGACTTTTAAGTTTCAGGTTTCATAGGCAGACTTCCTGAACAAAAGTATATATTTTTCAAAATCTTAAACTGAAAAAAAAAAAAATCTGGCAGGGCTCCATGCAGCATAATACCTGCTAAGTCACTAACGTTTACCCAGTGGTTTTTATTTAAATTTGTGCTGCTGCTATCATGATTTATTCCTACTTCACAGGATAATGAATCTAGATTTTATTTCTGTTCTTTGCCCAGACATGTACAGCAGGCAAAGTGTTTGAAAATCAAAGGAAAAGAAGATATTGACTTGGATAATCTCTTCAGAGGTAAAAACAAAAACACGAGCAAAAACACAGAATATACTTTTTGTTGTTTGGAATGTCTTATCTGTTTGATTGTTTGGCTTTATCATTCCAATAGGGAGTGGTGGAAAAACTTGACCAGAAGTCCCGAGACTTATCCTAGTCCCTACCCAGCACATACAAATTTCCATCACTTCAAACCCCTAAACCTCAATTTTCTCATTTTTAAAAGTAAAAAGACTTTCCAGGTGCACTGGCACACACCTGTAATCCCAGTGGCTTGGGAAGCTGAGAAAGGAGGATTGAGAGTACAAAGCCAGCCTCAGCAAAAGTGAGGCACTAAGAAACTCAGTGAGATCCTGTCTCTAAACAAAATACAAAAGAGGACTAGGGAAGTGTCTCAGTGGTCGAGTGCACCTGAGTTCAATTCCCAGTACCCTCCAAAAATTAAAAAGGCTGGACTGTCTATCTTTATGATCCCCACTCAGGTTGGGACAGATCTAAATCTTCTGAAGTCATGGAGGGAAGTCAGGAGTGTCCCACTGCATTTGATAAGTTGAATGACTAAAGAAGGTGTCTCATTAGGCAAGAAAGTTATTTGAAAAAGTTTAGTCATCAGAGCTGAGAAATTTGTTAGTGTGTAGGAAAAAGAATTTCATGTTTTAATACCATTTGGGTTTTTTATTCTTTTTTTCAGTGAAGGCTCAGTGTAGCCCAAATTCTGAGGCTAGGTTCCATGGTAACAAGCTAAAGAATGAGTTTTCCCTTGGTTGTCTTATTTTAGTGTTAATATTTTGATCTGGTCAGATGAAAATATTTATCATTTGTAGTTAGCATCCTGTGTCTCTGGCCACAAAAAAAATATATATATAAATTTGTCTCTCCCAGAACACAGTAATATTTGTTTATCTTCTAGAAGAAAGGAAAATTTGTGAGTTTTCTGCTGATTTTAGCAGAATACACCAAATTAGCACAATTGGATAGCCCTGCAGTTCATCTCCAGTACAATTACTTGTTCAACTTTTCTGAAGAAGAAAAAGAGCATGGATGGCTGTCATTGAACAAAGATCATGAGGTCTACAAGTAGTACTAACCTGCTCATTTCAGTTGGAGAAAAGATGAATTTGGGGGTTGGAAGACTTCCTGATTTTATCTCAGCAACAAAGAGGGAGGGTCTTTTCCTCAGAAAAATGGAGGTCAAAAATTATGTGGCTTTAATTGTGCAGCTTTATATTTCTCCTCATCAGAAGAGTTTCTAAATCATAAACCAGAGCTGAAGCTTGCTTTAAATAAATAACTGGTATTTTAGAAACTCCTCCATACAAATGTTCTCATCCATTTTACCAAGCCTTCATTCTGTAAGCAACATGTTTTGGAATCACATAAGGAGCCTTTAAAAAAAAAGTGTCGGTGTTTTAATTCATATTTTGACACTTTTGAAAATTTCTCCACAGAGTAATTATGTATATGTTCTTGTTAAAACAGATACACAGTTTTGTAGTTCACATAGTAAAAGTAGTAATGAGGATCATCCTGACTAAAATAGAAAATATCACTAGCAAAATGCATTTGCATAATGTGAACGATGAAATCTCTTACAGCTTGTTCAATATGCACTTGTTCTTTTCTGCATCACTTGTAAAAAGTTTATGCCCACATGCTTTTATTTATTCATGCATTCACTGTGTGCTTTAATTTAAACATTACAGTTTCTTCATAGTGGAGGTCATTGGTAACAGATATGGCAGTGATATCAGAAGACATGCAGAGAAACACCTGCCTCGGGTGCCTGTGGACCTCTAATTCTCTGCATGGGGAAATGCCATGGGGGTCTCTTTGATTGCGTGGAAATATACAGGTGGTGCTCACAGATCCAGCTTTCTCAGTCTAGCCTGTCACCCAGAGCTGTTCTTCCTGTATCAGACTAATCCCCATTATTATAGTAAAGATCATTTGTTCTGGTTCTAACCTGGATAAGACAAAATAACAAGAATCAATGTTACTAATGTGATATTAAATGATCATTTAACATTATCCTTTTATTTTTAAGCCTGTTAATCTAAAGTCCTTATTGCCCCCCACCCACATAAATTTGAATGAACAGCCTCTTATTAGGAGTCTCTTTTTAATGAAAAATGAACTAAAATTTGTTCTCTATTTCTCCCATAATAGGAAATTTTATACACTGCATTTGTAGAGATTGGGTACACATGTACACATATATATGGATTCAGATTTTCATCTTAGACATGTTTTCAGATTTTACTTGTAACCATCTTTAATTCTGAAATCATTCTATATACAATAGACACATTTGTCATGTATAATGAAAAAATTTAAAGCTACCTTTTTTAAATTTTCAAACATAATTCTGAGAGATGGAACATTCTATCTTTTTTCCTTAATAATGTGTCAAAAATATAAAGTTACTTTCTAATGATACAAGTTTGTTGAGGAAAGCATGGTTTTCTTAAAAGGATGTTTGGTGGTGAAATTGACAGGTTTTCAGTTGGAGTTTAAATAAATAACTGGTATTTTCGATATTCAGTTGGAGTTTGTGTCACTAATCTTCAGTTTACAGGTAAGCTTCATGAATGTGCCACCCAAGACAGGACTAGTGGCACTTTTCCTCTGTGCATTTTGTTAAGTAATGCATGAGCAACACCACTGGTCCCTTCTGCAGGATGGAGTTGGGCATCTGGGCAGTGGCCTCTCTGGTTTTTACCCTTGCTAACCGAGTGTTCTACAGAGAATGGGACAAAACTGCTCCTTTAGTACAGCTTGAGTGAGGCTAATTGGAATGCATTTGCACTGATGCTAAGAGACCTGCTCATCTGCACACTGTGTCTTTTTACCCTGCAGAATGCTTGAGAGCTAGAGCAGCTAAGACCAGGCTCCTTGAACAGAGGTCACCCTATCTGGGTCCCCTCACTGCACCACACAGGGAACCCTTTGTAATTGTGTAAATTTCAGCTAGACAGTTGTTTCTTTTTTAACATATTTATTTTTTGGACTCTAACATGTAACTAATACTCATTTTTAATTCAAAAAATTTTTAAGTCTAAAAAATGCAAAAAGGTAAATATTATTAATGAATCCTTCATAGATTCATATTTTTAAATTTATTTTTTATTCTAATTTGTTATATATGACTGTAATTCACATTTTTATTTTTTTCAACTGGTGAAGAATCATATTTGGTGATCTTCAATTAGATTTGTTTCCCCACTTATTGATACCTGGCCTATGTTACTTTCCTAAGTCAGCTCAGATATATCTGCCAGATTCTTCTTTTTTAAATAAAATGTTTCAGCTGAGTACACAAGAGATCACATCCCCTTAATCACCAATTGGGTCGGGAAGCAGAACCTGACCCTGAGCTGACACCATGCAGTCCCCTGACCTCCTCCTGACAGGGGGACCACTGTTCTGACTTCACTCACTACCACTGACTTTTGGCCCATTTTGAACATTTTATACATGGAATGATAGCCTGTGTACTCTGATATGTCTGACTTCTTTTGCTGATGTATTTGTCAGATCCTTTCAAATCATGTTTTGTTTAGTCTCATTGCTGCATATTATTAAGTTTTGTGAAAACGTAATTTATCTATTTCAATGTTAACTATCTTCAGTTTTGCATTCTTGCCAATGGTGCCACCAGGAATATTCTGTGAGATTTTGTGGGTATGTGTATGCATTTCTGTGGAGTAAATATCAGTGAGGGGGCTATCTGGGTAATTAGGTTTGCTTAAGTTCAACTTCACATGCTAGTGTCAAATGTTTTTACAAAATGGTTTATTAGTACTCCCACCAGCACAGGACAGAAATTGGGCTGTGCATCCTTGCCAGAACAGATTATTTGTCAATCTCTAATTTTAGCCATTTTTATTTGACATTTCCCTAAGACCCAGTGAGCCTTGTACACATTTTCTGAGTTTGTTGGCCATTGAATGTCCTCTTTGATGAAGTATCCCCCCATTTGTCTTTTAGATTGTCTTCTTATTATTGATATGCAGGGGTTCTTTTTGTGGGGTGATGAATCCACTGTTGATAGATATTGCAGATACCTTCTCCAGCCTCTTATTTGCCTTTTCACTCTCTTAATGATGCCTTATGGCAAATACAAATTCCAACTTTCAATGTAGTTCATCAGTCCTTCCTGTTTTGGTTAGCACTTTTAGCGTCTCATTTGATTGATTGATTGATTGATTGATTGATTTAGCCTATTCAGTGTTCATGAAGGTGCTTTTCTATTTTTCATTGTAAATTATTTTTTGTCTTTCACATCTAGATCCAGAATGGACCTGGAACTGATTTTATATATGGTATAATGTAGGGTTCAAAATTCACTTTCTCTGTGAATTTTCTCTGTGAATGTCAGATGACTCAGCACCAGGTATTAAGAAGCTCTTTCTTCCACTAATGTGTGGCAATGTCACTCTGTCATAAATCAGGTTAACTATATATGTGTGGATCTGTTTCTGAATTCTGTTTGATTCCATTGTTTATCTGACTGTTCTTTTGTCAATATCAAGCTGTCTTAATTAATTATCACAGATTTATATAATAAATCCTGATCTAAAAATGTCACTCCTCAACTTTGTTCTTCTATAGTATTGTCCTATTTTTGTCCCTTTACATTTCTAATTAGCTTAACTATTTACCACATACACACCCCATACGACTTACTCTGATTCTAATTAGAATTATAGTGAATTGGTACACCAGTTGCAAGGACGTTGGCACCTTCTAAGTCATGAATGTAGTATATCCTTCAGTTTCATAATTTTCAATAATATTAGGCAGTTTCCCTGAGCTAGCATCTCCACTATTGAATAAATGTAATGATAGCAAGGCCATCTTTGTTTTATTCCCAATCTCAGAAGGAAATATTTTTATGTTATTTAAAGTATGACATTTGATGTAGTTTTTTTAATGCCCTTCAGAAGATGAGGGAATTGTCCCCATTTCTAGTTTGCTGTTTTCATATTTTCACTAATGAGTATTGAATTGTATCAAAT